AGAAAGACTCGACCCTTTACAGCGTCCAAGCAGACCCCTATGTATTGAACTGTCTTGGAGGGAATGAGCCGGGACTTCTGTTTGTTGTCAGTGAGACCGAGATTGGAAAGAAGATACAGAATGAATCTTGTGTCTTTCAGGGATTGCCTTCTCGAGGTGGAGACTACGAGCCAATCGTCCAGGTAAGGGTAAACGTGAATGCCCCTGAGACGAAGGTAAGCCGCCACCGGAGCCATGACCTTGGTGAAGGTCCGGGGAGCTGTGGACAGACCGAATGGCAGGGCCTGGAATTCGTAGACCGTGTCCTGAAAGATGAACCGAAGGAACCTGCGGTGGTCGGGGTGAATAGTGACGTGAAAGTATGCGTCCTTTAGATCTATAAGGACGAACCAGTTGCTCTTTTTCAGCAAGTGCATGATGGACTCTAAGGTAAGCATCCGAAACCGTCTGGGTCGCAGGTAAGTATTGAGGAGTCTTAGATCGAGGATGGGTCTTATGCCTCCTCCGCTTTTTGAGACGGCGAAGTAGCGGGAGTAAAACCCGCATTGTACGTCGTGAGGTGGTACTGTAGAGATGGCCTCTTTTTCTAAGAGAGATGATATTTCTTCCTCTAGCGAGGAGTCGAAGGGAGAATGAGTTATGAAACCTAGCGGAGGAGATCTTATAAACTCCAGCTGGTAACCGTGCTGAATAATTTTTAGAGCCCAAGTGTCGTTTGTGATGACAGACCAGTTGTGAAGAAACGGTTGAAGGCGGGTGGTAGGTGGTGAGTGGGTGAAAACGGGGGGCCGAAAGTCAAAGATACTGTTTTTGTTTTCTGCCAGGTGGCTTAAAAGGTTGGCGGCGATGGGGCGGACGAGGGCGGTATCCCTGATAGCCCTGGACAGAAGAAGAGGACTGGCCAGAGCGCTGCTGAGGAAGGTGTTTGTAAGGACGGTATTGTTGGGAAGATTGATACTGTCCATAAGATTTACGCCATTGAGGGCGTCGCTGTCTAGATTGAGTCTGAACAGAATAGGACTTAGCAGTTCTCTTAGCCTTGTGAAGGTCCTCCAAATGGGAGTCGGTCTTTTCGTTGAACAGCCCGGTAGCGTCGAAGGCGAGGCTTTCAACTTTTGATTTGACGTCCTCCATTATGTCCGCAGAACGGAGCCAAGCATGGCGCCGGATAGAGATGGCAGACATGAGGACTCTGGCAGAGATTTCTGCTGCATGTCTGATGGAAAGACGTTCATACTTGGATACCGTCTGAGCTTCCTCATATGAGTTGAGAAAAGCTTGCCTGGTGTCTTCAGGTATCATTTTCAACCCAGGCAAAAGTTTGAGCCACAATTGTTTGTGATAAGCTCCCAAAACAGTTTGATAATTTATGACTCGAAGTAGCAAGGTGACAAGGGAGTAGATTTTCCTGCCGATGAGTTCCAGCTTTTTACCCTCCTTGTCGACTGGAGTAACATGAGCCTTGGCCGAAGGCCTTGAACAGCTTGTTTCAACAATGAGTGAGTTTGGAATGGGATGCTTGAGCAGAAAATGAGTATCGGCCCCATGAATCTTGTAGAAGTGTTCTGTGCGACGAGGGACATTAGGTGTAGCCGCAGGCTGAGCCCAGAATTCCTTGATGGCCTCCATAACTACAGGCACAAAGGCTATACTGGGGGGAGCGGTACTGTCTCGTTTTATGTCTCCAAAGAACAAGTCCTCTCCCGGAGGGGAAGGGAGATTCAAGTCCAATTTAAGCGTCTTGGCAAGCCTGGACATCATCTGAGAGTAAGAAGAAAAATCCTCAGATGGAGAAGGAGCGTGAGTATCGCCAGTATCGGAAAGCACCAGATCACCCGGAGGTAAATCATGCGGTGGTAAGGGTGGGGGTGGGTACTGATCGGAGTCAGAAGACCGCTCCGTGGACACCTCATCTGGATCAGAGGAGAAGACGTCCCTCTTCTTCCTTGGAGGGGGCTTCTCGACGTCGACCTGCGTTGTCGGGGGTCGAACGGGGACCACGGTCGGTGCCGAGGTGGGAGGGGCCGGTTGCGGTGGAGGGGCAACCGGTACCGGAAGAGGGTGGTCTTTGGCTCGAATGGCCCGGCGTCGGCGTCGAGGGCGGGTCGGCTCCGAAGAAGAAGAGACATATATGTACCGGATCTTTTTGCGGTACCGGTCTCGAGAGGCGGATGTCGACGACGAAGGAGGAGACCGCGAACGGCCGCGTCGACGTCGATGGTGCTTACGACGCTTAGGGCGGTCGGAATCCGCCGAACGGGGAGAAGAGGACCGACGTCGGTGCTTGGTACGACGTCGATGAGAATGGTGCTTCTTCTTAGAGCGTTTACGCTTAGAGGATTTCGAGTCCGAGCGATCGCTAGAGTCGGACTGAGTGGATGCTCGATGCCTCTTCTTCGATCGTTTCTGTCGAGGAGACTTCGACCTCGAGCGGCCGGAGGATGGGGACCGACTCGGGGGGCCATGCTTCTCCGTGCGGGAACGTTTGCCTCGAGGAGATTTAGACCTCGAGCGCACAGGTGATCGAGGTATCTTCTCTCGAGGAGATCTCGAGTCCGAGTGTACGGACGAGATCGACACGGGAGGCGACCCCTGGCCCGCAGGAAAAGGGCTATGTGGGGCAGAAGCGAGGCCAGTAGTGACGGCGACTAACTGGCTCGGCGTCGGGGAAGACCTTCCCGAAGGCGGTATCACTTCAGTACGTCGAGCAGGAGGAGGCGCGGGTGCCTCGGCCGAGGCCCCCCAGCGCCTCGACAACTCCTCAAGAATTGGCGATGGGATGGAACCCGAGCTCGGAGAAAGTGGAATAGATGTCATTTTAAGCTGGGCGGCCGCCTTAGCTTTGGACGATTTCGACGGCTTAGCTTTCGGAGCCGGAGGCTCGGGTGAAGCAGGAGCGGCCGATTTCGACGACGCGGATTTCTTCGACATTTTGGAAACTTTGGAGACGACTGAGTGAACAGGAGCTGCTCGAGAGGTGGAAGCCATTTCCCCCTCAGAGGGCGCCGTGGAAGACAACGTTGACTCCCACAGATGAAGTTTAAGGCGCTGTTGGCGAGCCTTGAGAGCGGCCTTAGTGAAGGCTTTGCAGTGTGGGCAAGCTTTGGGATTGTGCGACTCGCCCAAACAATACAGGCAAGTATCGTGGCCGTCTTGATGGGGGATTTTGCGGTCGCACACCACACACCTGCTGAACGGCCCTGAAGGGGACATAGGGTAGTAAGGAAACCGAAACGACAAGTCCAAGGATAAGGCAGAGCAGTCCAAACACAGTCCGAGTAAGCCAGAATATACACCGGGTCGTCAAGTTGAAGGGAAAAAGCGCTAGGGTAGTCCGTGAGCGAAGCAAAGGTCAAAGCCAAAAATCAGATAGATCGCAATAACGCAGCAATAAACGCAGCTAAGACGAGAGGCTCCAAACCGCTAGGCGGAAAAATGGAACTGAGGGACGGTTAGGCTGGGCGTGCGCAGTAGGGGTAGTCCTAAACATTGTTACTTTTCTCTTGCAGCTAGAAAACGTTCCGAGAGGCCCAACGCTGGCGCTGGTATTAACCCTTTGTGTGCATTCACAGAAGACCACGATGAAGAAGAACTGGTTCTTCTTGTCATTCAGGATGAATCCCCCGAACGGCTTTGCTCCATGCACCCAATCGAAGAACAGTTTGGTTCTTGTGGCATTTTGTTCTAACCTTTTGCTTCCTCACATTGACTGAGTTCATTTGAAGAAGGCTAGGACTGTGGATGCCAGATTTTAGTGATCAATATCATGTTAACTCAACCAAGTGCTCCAATGAGGTTTCAAACTTGATCACCTTTCAGCCCCATCTACCACAGCCAATTGCCATGAATCCTAACAATTGTAGATGTAACCATGAGGAAGGCAACAGGTTACCTTACTTAAAGGAGGCTACACAGCCTCTCACCATGTTGCTCCAACTGGTCTTGTGATGAAAGGGGGATTTCTTACTTTTGGGTTAGAAAAGGGAGACAGGGTCTTATACATGGAAAATAATTTCTTTGTTTAACTGCCCAGAGTAGTGGCTTGTCACTAGATGGAAGGAAGGGAGGGAGGCAGGCAGAGGGATAGGTGAGTTATGTTCTTCATTATGAATAAATAGCTCCATTGCAGACATTCACAAGCCCGAACCTTTTATTATAATATATAAGGCAGGAATCCTGCACCTGCTTATCTCGGAGAAACACCCTCAACGGGACTTAATTCTCGAGAGACATGGATAGGATTTCACTGTACGAGTAGTAGTGAAATAGGCAGGAATGGGATTTAGCGAGGAGTACAGAAGGACATCAGACTGAAGGTAAAAGTACAGATGGAGAGGCCTGGGACTAGCAATGCTTGAGGATTTTGCTTGGTAAACATGCGGCCGTCACTTCCCCCTTTGCACAACATGAAAAGAAGACAACCAAACTGAACACCCTGTTGTTTACAAACACACACACAAAAATAAACAGGATTTTGGCCACTGTAAAATACCTTAAAATACATATTTTAAAAGAAGCAGGTTAGAACAAATATTGTTCCACAGATGGACCCCAAACACTTGCTCCAGATATTGTATCTTAATACATAACTGCAAGGAAAAGAAACAGGGAAAAGATGTTGTATAATTTTCTTTGCTTTGTTTTGGTTCCATAAAAGTTGAAATGACCATAGTTCAATTTGTACAGGGCACATAAATCCAAAACCACAAAATCCGACTTAAAAAAGAAAAGAAAAAAAGTATATTTTTCATTTCTTTTAAAGCAAAAAAGGCAATCATGTGGCGTATTAAAGGATTGGACATTTATTGCAGCATAACCTCTGAAGTGCACTTGAGTCTACAAAAGCATACACTATAAAAATGTGTTTGTCACAGAGGTTATACAGACTATTCCAGATCCCAGAAAATTTTTAAAAGCAAAAGAAAGTAAAAGGTACACTTTGTAACTATGTGTAACTAAAGACCTTTGAGAGAGAAGGATGTAATGTTGAAGCTACTTACCCACTCTTCTTCATCGTATTCTGAATGGTGAGGTATTGAATCTTGTCTCTTGATTTGGGAGGGCTGATCCTTATTTGGCTCATCACTACTCTCTTCAACACTACTCCTTGGCACAGTTGGTTTTTTTAGGACACAACCTGGACGGGCTGTATATAGAGCTAAAAGGGCACTTCTGATCAGCTGATCCTTAAATGCATGCACAAATAACTCTGTCTAGAATGAAAAGGAATGTTCAGTCAACAAATTGCAGGATTTGCTGCATATACAGTATATGCACTGCATAATCTGTGATGGCCATGATGGCCCCAACAACAAAGAAATAAAATATTTCTGGTTTTTCCTTGAAGCCTGGGCTTTCTATTGGTGCTACAATACCACAGGCTTGCACACTTTTACAAGGAAACAGTTTTGAATGCAGTGGAGCTTACTTCTGAATAGAGGTTAAAATGGGCTAAGCAAAGGTGGCCATGGGTTTTTAGTAAGTTTCATAAAAAACTCAGAAAAATAGAATAGTGTAAGGGAACTATAAATAAAACTCATTCTGTCTTTTGCATTCTGCTCTGAGTGCTTCTGAGCCTGTTTTTAAACAAAAATATAGCTAAGTAGATGAAAATCAAAAGAAATGACTCAAAACATTTTCATTTGACTTTCCTTTTGCCAGTACATTTAGTGATTATGGATAAACCTCTAGTCAACTGGCTGCTATCTAATACAGAAGCTTTTAGAGCTCTAGTAAGTTAGCAAAAAGTGAGGTATAAATGCATATGCCTATGAAATATGGGTAAGTTAATGGTATATCTAGCATAACACTAATGCTCCAAAGAGAACACGCATATAAGTTATAAAATAGAGCAACAACATATGTCAGTGAAAAACACAAGAGAGACATCCTACTCTTTTTTCTCTGGCACTTCTTCTCTTCTTCTTATCCCTTTTCAGATCAAATCCTCACTGCATTTTCTTATAATAAGTGGTATACAACCAACTGCTAGCAGTTTTCCTTCCCTCTCCTTCCAGAAATATATTGAGCATTAGATACAAACATCATTCAATTAAAAAAACAACAACTGACAGACATCTGAATTGAGAGGATTATCAAACTATTTTAAATATAGTGTATCCCATTACATGCCACTGGCTAAAACAGCATACTAACAGCGTCCCCATTTTGGAGGTCTTCCCTACATGCAGTGGAGCAGAAGGCCAAAAGCAGGTTAAAATTTAAGGCCATGAACTAATGTTCCCTCTAACTTTCTGCTAACTGGAACCAAATGGGCAGCAACACTGGCTGCGGGTGTGCGGCACAATGTAGTGTTGAATGGCCACACACCTATGCAGCTTAGAAGAAACGTCATCGGGAACCCATACAGTAAGTATGCTGACAGATCTGCTTATGCCTGCAACATTGAAGGGGATAAGCCCTTCTCTCCTCTACAGTGTCTCTTGTGTTACCCAAACAAGTGTTGCTTTGCTCATACACAGAGGAAAAGCCTTAAGAGGAGAGTCTCCTCCAAACATGAAGGGCTTCCAGACCCTGGAAAATTCAAGTTCTGGTTCATATTGATATCCTGCATGCATACAAGAGGCTCTTTTCTCCGCAGGAGAGGAAAATGGGTTGGGGCTAACATGCTCCCTTCTTCACATGTTTAGTCAATTCTTTTATAGAATGTCTAAATAAGGCTTGCGCAATTCTTTGAAATCATGGTCAAAGCCTCTTTTTGGTTTTTTTCAGATTCAGTTATGCTCCACCACTCCGAAAAGAAACAAAAATTATGAACTCAAGTAAGCTGCAGATGTAATGTGCAAAGAATTAGAAAAAAAGAGAACTTATAATGCCCTGCTAATAATACTAATATTACTAATAGTTTATTTCAGGTCCACTCCTAGTTTTGCACCCAACATGTAAGGAACATGTAAAAAGTAAAATAACATGCGCTTTCTATGCCCTATGCTTAAAACCCAAGTGAATACTTCAAAATAATCCCAAAACAAGAAGAAAATGCATGCGCTCAGTTAAGGGATGTCACTTCAGATTAAGATTGCTACAGCTTGAAATTGTTGGAACTATTATCAGAAGATTTTCCCTTTCTTACGGTAGCATCCTAAATCTTATAACAACCAGAATAAATTAATATTTCTACACATAAATGTAGCCAGTTTTATGTTGGAAAAGATAGCAGTTTGGGATTTGGTAGTTCTAGTTGCCACTGCAGGGACCATCTTTGAATCATACCGTTTCTGAAAGCATCTTTAAGGAATTCTTCAAGCTGTCTGGCAAATGCTGCCTTGCAGAATTAAGCAGCAGGTCTGTGTGGCTTTCTATAAGAGGCTGAAGATGATTGATGTTACTTAGGACTTCTTTTGCCTTAGCTGTGTTTTCAGGTGAATAGTAAATACATTGGTACCCGGTACTGCAGAATAGGGAAGAGAGAAACAAAAGAATATTTTGATAAAGTTAAAACCTGTTTTCACTTCTTAGGGCCAGATGGCTAATTGTTATTTGTATGCAATGGCTTTCATCATCACTATAATTAATGTGGAAAAGTATTCTAAAGTTCACCGTAACACATTTATGAGCATTATTTTAAAATCCAACTTGCTAAAAGCTGAGAATAGGCCTTGTTGGAATAGTAGGAGATGGTAACCTTTTCTCTGATGAATGCTCCAGACATCACTGCTGTAACTAATTATTCCCTGAAGCTCTTTGAATGAACTACTGTATGCCATGGAAACAAAAGAAATGTTAAAAAAAACCTAGACATGTGTCTATTATTTAAGCATTGAGGAACTCTCAACAATACATTTGCATTTTATAACAGGCACAAATAAAATACCTAAATTTTATGATGCCTGTTTAAGGTCTATGACGGAATGTGAAAAAAAGCTTTTGAAAACAAGTTAGCAGTTGAGAAGACGATCTGAAGATTACACGAGAGTCATCACCATTTTGGTCCATTATGCAGAGAAATGTAGTATGTGGACATTACTGAGTATCAAACTTCCTGGATTAATGAGAAATACAGTGGTGCCTCGCTTAACGATTGCTTCGTACAACGAAAAATTCACTTAACGATGGCTTTTTCAGAGTGATCTTGTGCTTCACTTAACAATTTTCCCTATGGGCGATTTTTGCTTAACGATTTTGGGACCATGCTTCACTTAACAATGACTGTTTTAGGTCCCCTTGTTTCTCTCAACGTTTTTTTTACAGCCCCGTTTTTGCTATTTTTAAAATATTCTAAAATGTTTAAAAAATGTTTAAAATGCTTGGAATCATTAGTGCACCTAATAAAACCTTTGTTAACTTAATTTGGCTTTGTTCTGAGTCTTTTTGAATTTTTTGTGAATTTTTTTCCCCCATTGAAATAGGCTTCAATGCATTTCAATGGGTTTCGCTTAACGTTTTTTCCTATGGGGATTTTCGTTTAAGGATGGTAATCCGTTCCAATTGGAACGGATTATCCGGTTTTCAATGCATCTCTATGGGAAATGGTGTTTCACTTAACAATGTTTTCACATAGCGATGTTTTTTTTGGAACCAATTAAAATCGTTAAGCGAGGCACCACTTGTATGTAGAATGGTAATAAATATGTAGAATGGTGAGATTCAAGACAGAGCTAGTTACTTTGTTACCTGCTAATCCAAACAGCAGTGAAAACTTTAATTCATGGGGAAACAACTGAAGAAGGATATTCTGCATTAGTTTGAGAAGTGGCAAGTTAGATGGTGGCATAGAAGTAGCAACACCAGTCTCCCATTTCTGATTTAATGGTTTTCTAATGTTGCACCTAAAAATAACAACCACCTTCTTGAGATTAAAATTTGCCAGCTGGTTTTTAGGATCATGTTTTCTGTCCCCTTTTCACAGCTTTTCTGGTTTCTGGTTTGTTGACCTCAAAATTGTTTCTGGCATAAAAAATGAGATAGAAAGGTTACTTACCTGTAACTATGGTTCTTCGAGTGGACCTCTGTGAATTCACACATATGGGTTTAGTCTGCGCCTGCGCTGACGTTTTCACAGTCTTCTAGAGCTAAAAGTAACAATTTTATGGGACGATCCCCCAAGAAGCACATGCTCCTCCCACCTGAGATTCCCCTCAGTTCCTGTAATTTGTCCGCCGGGCGCGAGAGTTGTACCATGATAAGACACCCGTGACGGACAGAGGGGAGGATGGGTGGGTAGTGTGAATTCACAGAGGTCCACTCGAAGAACCATAGTTACAGGTAAGTAACCTTTCTTTCTTCTTTATGGCCTCTGTGAATACACACATATGGGTGACTGGCAAGCTTCACTTATTGGCTGGTGGGACGTCACGGTAGGAAGGATGCCCACAGTTTTGCCAAATCCAGTTTTATTGCATGTTCCTATGTCTAGGTGGTAGTGCTCCGCAAAGGTGGATGGCATGGCTCATATAGTTACACAATAGACGTCGAGAAACTCGATTCTACTCAGGATGCAGTCATGGTAGAAGGCGCTCTGTGGAGCAAACCTAAAGCTGATGAGACGGTGACCCGTCTGACAACTTGTAAGCAATAGATACAGACCGGACCATCGATCTAGAGATGGATATGACAAAGGTGGATCTTCGAAATGAGAACCATGAAAGCATAACAGAACCTGTCATTTGTTCAGAAGCTGTGGTAGTGTCCCAAACAAACACTGGTGAGCATCTTGTGGAGCATGTGCTCTAGAGGAAATGATGGTGATCTGAAGAATCATGGTAAGATGAAGCATAGATAAATACAACTAACCAACTAGGTTAGGAATGAGACAATCAAGTAGAAAGCCACTATATCAGGAAAAATGAATTACAGGTAGATCAGATACCATCTGTCCAAGCTGCAGGTTCCCATGGCAGAGATGACAGTCACTAAGAAGGCTGTTTGAGAGTAATTAATGATGAATGGGCTCGAATGGCCGTGCGAATTTAGAATGATGTATAGACCATTCAGGAACAATGTATTTACATGCAGGATAAATAATACGGAGTCCTCTGAGGAGACGTTTGTCCACAGAATGAGACACAAGACTTAGTGGACCAGAATCATCTGGTCAATGGGCATCAGTAGCAGATACGTAACACTTGAAATGTCAAGTAGGTAGCCCTTTCAAAGAAAATTGGCAAGGTAGTTCTTTGTTTCAGTATATGCAATAAGACTTCATTTATTTATATATAGACATCGAGTCAAAAGATTTCGAGCTCAATCGAACACTGAAGTCAAAGTGGTAATATTCTTCAGAATGTCAAGTTCGTGGATGATAGATCCAGATGGTCGACCATCCCTCCTTCCGAAGTTAGGACGTGAGGAACCGGAGGGACTGACCTGTGTCTGTCAATATCGATTTGAGACAGGTGGTATTGGTCATCATGGAGGTATTTGGATCGCCCTCGATCAGGAATGATTTTGACTAGGAATGATGGTGATGGAAGACTATCCCTAGAATAAAAGATATCGGAGGGAAGAGTTATGGCAGGTTCCCTGTCCTCCTGTCCACTGCCATATGAACGCGTCTCCGACAGTGTCCTTGTCCGCACCTGGACAGGAACAATAGAACCTGTGGTTGGCGTCCGGATCCCATCTAATACATCGATGATCGGCACTTCCCAACAGTGACAGAACCGAACTTGCAGTTGCTTGGAATAGTGATCCTCCACATGGTCAAACAGTAAAGGATACCACTATAGGAGTGGTTCAAGGTGAAGTCTGACTTGCTATGGCACTGAATTCATGGAGGCAATGAATTTGGGGAGAGGACTACTTTGTATTTTTTTTTTTAAAAGAGAAACATACGCTGTAGTACCAGTACAGGTGGATGTCTATATCTTGCTGAGGAAGGTTTCAAAACTAACGCCTTGTGCCTTGGGAAAAAAAACCTTGTAGACGTAAAAAAATCAGATGGTAGAGTACACCTGATAAGATTTCTGAAAACAAAGATGGTACGGATGACTCCGTCCTTAATATGTCCATAGAAGTATAGGAGTAGAAGCTATTGCACAAGCCTGATGTTGTAATTAGGATTATGGTGTGCCTATCCAGGGGGTAAAACCTCTTCCTGGATTGTACAGAAAAAGGGAGAAAGTATAACGTTACTGAAAAAATAACTAAATCATTTTTATAATGTAACCTAGAGAGATGTGGTAACATCCTTGAACAAACCAAGTTGTCTGGGAGGCTGAAAGTCCAGACACGGTTGAAAGGATTATGGGTAGAACTGAGAAAAGGATGAAAGGGCTGTCGACCCACATATACTTTGGCTTCTTTTCGTATTTTGTGTAAAAAATTTTTCTAGTGCAATCAGTCTAGACTGCAGAGGCTGGTACTATGCAATGAGAGATACTCAATTCTGTCCTTTGCCTCTGTGATGAACCAGTGGATCTTAACTAGGTGAACATTCTATCTATGCTGAGGGTGCCACGGAAGTTGAAGCATTTTGGGTGTCTAGCTGCAAACCCGTATTGCCTTGCTAGAGCCGTGGTCTCGGTATGAGTAGTTATAAAGTCTGCTGTAATGGATTCTAAGATAGAAAGAATCTTAGACCATAATTGCCCTTGGTAGGCGCTCATTGCGACTGGTCATTGGGCACGTGAAACAGAAGCGATTGAAGGGAATAAGTCTCCCTGTCAATTACATTGA